AGAAAGAAAGAAAGAAAGAAAGAAAGAAAGAAAGAAAGAAAGAAAGAAAGAAAGAAAGAAAGAAAGAAAGAAAGAAAGAAAGAAAGAAAGAACCACAAGAATACATTGAACTTTCAGAAGGAGAGAACAAACCTAAGGATACTAGAGATGAGGGGGAGGGAGGGAGGGGATTTGGGAAATGATAGTTTGGGCAAAAGGCATAGAGAAATATCATGATTTGTAAGGGATTTGGGAAGTGATAGGTCAGGTAAAGGGCATAAAGAAATATCACAATTTGTAAGAATGAATATGCTGCTGCTGCTGCTACTACTACTACTACTACTACTACTACTACTACTACTACTACTACTACTACTAATAAAAGAATGGAAAACAGTATGTAATTAAGTATAGGAAAATAAGAGCAAAGCTAAACAATCACCTGCCCAGTTACAGCTAACTAAAGGCAGTTAATTAGTCTAGCTATCTTAAAAATTTGCCTAAGGTGAAGGAAAGGCAAAAGTGTACCATTCCAGAGAAGCAAAAACTAGGCTTTTCTGAAAACATAAGCTTATCAGAAATGGTATAACTCTGATAAGTCAATATTGTTTATTTTTAAAAGTACTAATAGATATTTTATTGAAAAATGAGCATAAAGTTCTAGCAAAGGAGCATGGAAGCAAAAAACCTAGCTTCAGTCTTGGTTCCTCACTAGCTTTGTGAACTGTGCTAAATCACTTCTCTCCTAACCTAATTTCACTCAAGTGCAAAATATGATAATAATAATAATAATATATATGACCCATTTTTCCAAAAGATCAGATAATACATGATAAAGTGTTTTTGAAACCAGAAAAAAAAAAAACTATAAAAATTTTGACATTTACAAACATTAATTGGAGAGAAATCAGAAACTAAATATATCTATCATTATACAGGAACCCACAGTGGGAACTATAAAGCCCCCTGAGAGCAAGAACCAAGGTCATTACATCTCTTATATCACCTCTTTATCTCTGTGGAATATCTTAGTCCATTTCTGTTACTTATAACAAAATATGTGGAACTGGGTACTTTGTAAGAAAATGAAATTTATTGCTTACAGTTTCAGAGACTGGGAAGTCCAAAGTCCAGGGAACACATCTGGTGAGGATCTTTGGTGGAAGCTTTAGAGCAATGCAGGAGTCTCACATGGCAGAAAATGGTGGAGCAGAGAGAGAGTTACTCTCACAGGCTCTCTTGTTAAAGCCCTCAGAACTATAGCCCTGACCATCATTATTAATCCATTCACTACAGCCTGGTCCTACAATCTAATCACCTCTTCAAGGCCCCACCTTTCAGTTACCATAATTGGATTTCACACTTTCCCAACAGTCACAGTGGAGGCCAACTTTCCAACACCTGGAACTTTGGGGGACACAATTTAAGCTTCAATGAGTTTGGAAGGAACGTTCGATCCACAGCATAGAATTAATCACAAACTTAGGGGAAAATGCCTTCACGAGGACACTATTTAAAATTCTGAATGTTGAATTCATTGGTGAAAGATTGTACATCTAGAATATAAGCGTAAAGCATCTGTCTCAATAGGTAGTCCAGGATGATTGCCAAATAAATAACTCACGTAGTTACACATCTAAAGAGAGTGATGATAAATCAACTCTGCAAAGATGCATGTTTCTTCTTGTCCTGGACTACCATACTACACAAGGTTTAACAATTGGTGAAAAGGGTAAAAGAATTTCAAAAGAATTCCCAATTGGGCCGGCCCGGTGGCGCACTGGATAAGTGCTCTGCTTGGGAAGCACGGTGGCGCTCCCGCCCGAGGGTTAGGATCCCACATGCAGACCAGTTCCTGCTCGCTGGCTGAGTGAGGCGCGGGAGCGGCGCCGAGGGTTGCGGTCCCGTTGCCGGTCCCCGGTCCGGTGCGGGGGCGACACTGAGGGTTGTGATCCGTTGCCGGACACGGAAAAAGACAAAAAAAAAAAAAAAAAAAGAATTCCAAATTGGATAACCAGTCTCTGAAAATAAAACTGAATTTAAATTAGCAAAATAATGCTATTGTATACAGTAACTGCAAAGACAAGAAAAAATAAATGTCTAAGGGAAAATACAGATGATGTTAGCAAACACATTTTCAATCAGTAAAAAACAAAATAATATCTGTGTTTTCAGATTTTATGACTATTTCACTACCAAGAGGTAGTCAACTCTATATCTTTATCCAGAAAATAATATAATTTGAAACACAAGGCAAAAATGATTAGCAAAGGACAAAAACATTAGATACTACAACATAAATAAAATTTTAAAATTTCATTATTAAAATGAAGTGACATATCAATATAAAATAAATGTAATAAACAGGTTTAATATACTAAATCCTAGCTAGCCAGTCATCTTTGTTGGTTACAGCGCAGTGTTATAACACTAAAATCAAGGGTTCAGATCCTCATATTGGCCAGCCACCAAAAAAAAAAAGATGCGATCATTAAAAAATACACACACACACACACACACACACACACACACACACACACACACACACATTATATGTCCCTCCTGCTTTCTCTAGTAACCCCTGTTCTACTGTGGTACTATTTATTTACCGCAAAGTTGGCAACCAGTTGAAAGTTCCAAAAAATATGACACAAAATTGTCCAAATTCAAGACACCATTTATTCAACAAACTCAGAGTTGGGGGGTCAACTAGATTCTACATACTGTGCAAACCAACTATACCAACACTACATTCCACTAATCACTAACTCTTAAGACATTAGAAAGTGTTAGCAAACATTCAAGGCAAAAAAATATATATTTTGAGATTTAATGAAAAAACCTACCTCACTTGTGTAATAAAACAGTAAGTGCTATTAATATATTTAAAGAAACAAAACAAAATTTTAGAAAAATAACTCAGAAGAAGAAAAAAATCAACATTTGAAAATAACTACAAACCGAATTTTCTTCCTCCTCTTCCAACTCTCGCTGCTGTTCTTCATGTCTTTTAGCCTTGATCTCCATAGCTTCTGTGATCAGATCTCTTAAAATTGACACAGGTTTTGCATTCTTGATAAAAGGATGCTAGAAAAGTAAAATTCAGTGGTATAAAATCAAAATATTTTTCTGAATAACATGTTAAAACAACATGTACCTCATGAATTTACATGTAAAGCAGGATCATGGACTTCAGTAATTGTTTTTTAATCCAGAATTAAATATATAGGTTAACAAAAGAGAATATTTCAGCTGTTTTGGAAATAAAGATATTGCTCTTGGGTTTACTTGTTTTTAAAAAACCTTAAGCAACACACACAAAAATGCAACCATGTTAATAAAACTACATTATCCTTAAATATTTAATTGGCCACAGGAAGTGTACATTAGGTAGTAAAAAATATAAAAATGAAAAAAAAAAGACTGGTGATTATATTACATATAAAAATAAACTTATTTTGGTATTGAGTTACAGAATTTAATTAATCTTAATAAGCTGAGAGCCAAAATCGGCGGTCAAAAAGAGGGCAACTATTTTGTTGCTTCTTTTACATATTTTCTTTTTATTATGTCTTGAATAATTCAATCCTTTCCATTGAAGAAAAACATATTTTTCAGAAATTAAATATTTCCTCATTTTTATGCAATATATAAAAAAACTTATAACTTCTTTTTTCATATCTCTCTGATCTACATAAAATAGCCGGGTTCTCTATAATTCTGATAAGCAGAAGGGAAAGCACCAGACTAGGTTTTTATTTACTTTTTAAATTACTTTTTAAAAGTTTTTAATTACTTTTTTACTGAGAAGGACAGACATAAGAAAAAGCAGAAGGAGAGGTTAGAAGTATAATTTGGGATAGATAACCTTTTTTTGAGGCAGAGATCCAGCTTCAAAATGTAATTTTCATAATTACATGTAAGTAGATAGTGTCAGGTAAAAGCCACTGAGTTATTTTAATAAACATCAATAGAACACAAAAATTTACTTAAAGATAAAAAAATTTAGTGCTAAAAAAATGACAGACATTTGGAAGAGGCTTTAAAATGGTAAACATATAATTTGGAAAACCAAGAGTAAAAATTTTTCAAAAATACAGAAATACTAGGATTGATGCAAGGAGCCAATAAAGTCCTTTTATGACAATTTTAGATTAATTACCAGATAAATTAAGCCCTACTAACATACATGTGGTAGAGGCCCCTAGTCATCCACCAAAATAGAGTTGTGGCTGGACCTATAGATACCCATCTAGATCCTACATTTCTCAGCTTTTCTTTCAGCTTGGTTGTGACTATATGACTAAGTTTTCACCACTGGAATACGAGTGCAAGTGTTGTGTTCCACTTCCTGGTCATTAAACGTTGAGTGTGCACTCTTCCATGATCTCTTCCCTTTGTATTAAGCTAGAAAACAGAAATACTTGCAAAGCAACTTCAGACAACTATAAAGACAAAGGCAGTGCCCTAGAGGATGGGAAAGCAACAAGAAGGAAGAAACCCCTGCCCCACCAGAAAATTTTTGACAAACACTAGTAGAATGTCAGAAAATTCACACACGCACACACAACTGAAGATATGTTCTTTGCCCTTAAGGAATTTACTATCTAGAATAAAGAATAAAAGACAAACAAACAAGGGTACTTCAAAAAGCTCATGGAAAGATTCGTATTATATTTAAAAAATTACAATGTGATATACAAATTACATTCATGATGGTTCAGAACAGTCTATATATATAATTAACAGATGTAAAAAGAAGAATGGGAAAGGTAATCACAGATGCCTCACACAGAAGAAATAGATCATTTGAAGGAGGAGAAACAGTATGGACAAAGACAAAGATAGGGGACGTATGTTAGAACACAGTAGGAAGATAGGCCTACTATGAAAACGGAAATACCATTTAGAGAAATGGTGTTCTATGAATTTAGATACAGGCAACGGTGAGACAAGAAGCATAAATGTTTAGGATGAGATGCCTGCATTTTGTCTGAGAGTCACTTTAAGTACATAGCAAGAGAATAATATAAAAAATAAAATGTCTTTGATAGCATAATCTTGCAACAGAGTTTAGAAATAAAATAGAGTGGGGGAAAAACTAATAATACAGGTGTGAATTATTAACATTTTTTATAACCCAGGTTAAAAAAATAATTGCCAAAATAGAGAGGAAATAGTGAATCTGATAGAAAAACGAGAAGAATTTAGCAACTGATTATATAAATTAACAGAAGTGGGAGAAGACCAACAATGCAAAAACTGGGAACCAGTAGAATTACATGTCTTTAAAAAGGTATAGAAATCTCAAACTGTATCATACTTTATCTTCTCATGGAAAACTATGAGCCACCCCTCCAAGGTACAGTTATTTTTTAAAAATGCCAAAGTACTTACCTGGTTCTTCCAGTCTACTGCAACCTTATTTTTGTACAATTCATTGTGAATTCACTATAGTGTTATGTTACAATTAGTCTACAGAGCTTACCACTCACTCTCAATATCTTGGTATGTCCAATTTCATTTGTACACATGCTCTCTCTATATAACCACTACTGACATGATTTTGACCAACAAAAAGGAACTGGCTAATAAAGCTAAAAAGGTACTTAAAGAACAACACCATACTATTTGAGCATTCTTGGTAGTCAGAAGGGAAGTTTTATCAGAAACATTGCCAGAATTTTAAGTACAGATGCTCCTCAACTTATGATGGGGTTACATTCTGATAAATCCATCTTAAGTTGAAATTCTCAAGTCAAAAATGCATTTAATACATCTAACCTACCAAACATTATAGCTTAGCCTAGCCTACCCTAAACATGCTCAGAACACTTACATTAGCCTATACAGAGATGGGCATTTTGTAGACATGATGGGATATAAAAACACAAAACACACTATCCAAAAAACACTGGCTGCCACTTCCCAGCATTGCAAGAGAATATCATGCTGCATTATCACTAGTTGGGAAAAGATCAAAATTCAAAATACTAAGACAGTTTCTACCAAATGCATATCCCTTTTGTACCATGGTAAAGTCGAAAAATCTTAAGTCAAATCATCACAAGTCTGGGACCATCTGTATATTTTTAAAGGCATTTAAAAAGTAGGTGGTAAAATTAAAACTACAAAGCAACATAAAAAAGAACGCAGAAAAAACAAGATGGCAAAAGCAAAATCTCACAATTGTGATAAAAACGGTATTAGCATATAACTGTATACTAAAGTAAATAAACGGGTTGAAGTTCCATTTATGAAACAGCATTTTAGTTAAGTACTAAAGGACAAAGGTTCAGTTAGTTCATAAGATAAATTCAACTACATACTTTTTACATAAGACACACTTATATAAAATAAATCTAACTCATGTTTCTATAAGAAGCGTACTTAAAAGAACTTGGATTAAAAGTTAAACATGGGCAATGAAATATTAGACAAAAATAAAAAGATATGGATAACATCATCATAAAAAGCAAAACTGAAGACAAAATAGTAAATGAAGAGTCATTTAATATTAATATAGGACATGACACAAAAGAAGATATATTTATAAACTTGATATAATGATATAGCATTATATGTAACAAAACTAGAGACAGAAGAGGATGATCTAAAATAAGACACGGGAGATTCTAATAGTCCTTTTTAGGTCACTGAGAAATAATGTAGGCAAAAAAAATAAAGATAAAAATCATCTGAATAATATGATGATTCATTTAACAGAAAAATCAAACTCTATACCCAATAAACAGAAGCTAAATCTTTTTGTTAGAAAGAATAGTGAAACAGAATAGAATGCCCAGAAATGGAATATAATATACAAAGTAAACTGGAATACTATGAAGATGGCATTTCTAATCAGTGAGGAAAAAAATAATTTAAACTGAACCTGATGCTGAGAAAACTGCTTGCCTTTGGGGGAGTGGGGAAGAATTAAACTAGATCCTTATCATAGAAAACACCAAAATAAATTCCAGACAGATTATAAAATTAAATGTTACAAAAACAGAATAGGAAAGAACTAGAGGGCAATATAGGAGAACATTTAAAACCAAGGCTATTTTGCTTTTGCTATTAGGATGTTCTATGAATATTCTTAAACACGTTATTTCACACATGGTTGATTTTTTCTGTAGAATAAATTCCTAGAAGTGCAATTGCTGGGTCAAAGAATATATGAACTTCTATTTTAGATCTTTATTGCTAAATTGGCTTCCATGAAGATTGAATATTAAGCTAAATTTTCTTAACAATAAGCTTTTTTTTTTTTTTTTTTGGCGGCTGGCTAGTATGGAGATCTGAACCCTTCACCTTGGTGTTATAATACGGCGCTCTAACTAACTGAGCTAACCAGCCAGACCTATAAACACTATATTTAACAGCCTGTTTGTCATACCCCACAACAAATCCTTTTTTAAAACTGGTACCTTGGGAAGACACTTTTTACAAGAACCATTTTTTAATATTTTGGTCACTTAACAGTAAGAATCATTTGCAAATATCAAGTTTTGTTAATGTGTGATAGACTTAGCATTAGCTGACAGTAATGAGGCAATTCTGTTGGGAAACTAAAGGTTCACAAATACTTATATAAGTATTAAATTATTTCTATTTGAATTAACAGGCAGATTTTTAAAACTTCACATTCTGAATACAAAGTCTACTTATAGCAGGGATACTGAAACTATTTAGGTAATATTCTAACTAGTATTTACAACACGATAATCTCAAGGAGTTCAGGGATCTTGAATTTACATATTTTATAGCTGAGCAAAAAGTCAAAGGAAAAACGCTGAGTCAAGGAACATAAGGAAAAATCATGAGAAATAGTAAGTAGGGAGACAAGAACTCATTTCTTAAGGGAGAACCCCCTTGGAAGTTTTCTTTCAAAACAACTTTAGGAGGAAAGAGTTAACAACAAAAAGAAAAAAGAGAAAAAAAGGAGATAGAAAGTAGAAGGCAGAAAATGAGACAAAGAGAACATACAGAAGAATGGAGAGAGAGAGAGAGAGAGAGAGAGAGAGAGAGAGAGAGAGAGAGAGATATCAATCCATATTTTCTGGGAACATCGACGTCTTTAGAAATCAGTTATGAAACTCACAGCAATTCTGGCCAATGTCAGAAAGCTGAAGGATATGAAGAAAATATCCTTCCCTTAGAGGCACAATCACTGACCTGTAAAAGTTGTGTTGCAGTAGCTCTCTGTTCAGGATTCTTCACTAAGCACTTTTTAACAAAATCGGTGAAATCATCAGACCAAAGTTCTGGCTTCCTGAATGTTGGTGGTGGATTTGTGGGAATCATAAAAATAGCCTAGTAAAAATGAAACATCCGTAAGACACAGTAAGAATCACAATAGCACAACCAAATAAATAAATCTCTTTATCTTTTTATCAGACTCTAAATCTGAATAATAACTTTAAGCTCTTCTAGGATTTCCAGTAAGATTGCAATTAAGGAAGCAAGTCCATCTGCTCCTAATGTAATCATTTCCCATTAAATTTCCTCTATTTGAATTGCAACTCATTGAGCACATCATTCTTTATTTTATCTATTATTTTTTGTCAGTCTCAAAAGAAGGCTGCATTTCTGACCCTTTACCAAGCTAAGGACATTCCCTAGTTAAATGGATATATTCCCAACTTTGCTACCACATGCCAGATTTACTTCCTGTTTCAGTTTTATATAAGTACTGCTCAAAATGGCAGTAGCAGTACAATTTGCTTTACTAGCCAGAATATTTAAGAATAAATAAAATTACTGCTGTGATTTGAATTAATACCTGATTGAGCGGAGACTTTTATTTCTCTTTTTAAATATATGAGTCAGGATTCCAAATGAAAGATTTTAAAAGTAATATATCACTTTAATTTATTATCAATGATTTTATACTAATAATTTAGTAGTAATGATAATATATTCAGGTAGTTCAAATTTTAAAAGCTATAAAAAGTCTCTCTCATCCCCGATTTCCTAAATACCCCGTCACCATTTTTCAACAAAGAGAATTAATCCCTAATAGTCTTAGTAAATCAATGTGATTAATTAACTCCTCTCCTAGGCATCTGGAATAGTTCCTGATAAAATACCATCACTAAAACATCATTTTCTTTGAAGAAATAAAAAAGATATGCAAACAATAAAATTAAAACAAATATTTCAAGCACTTGATAAATATTAGCTATTATTTTTATTTCCACATGTTATAAAAGAGAAAAGAGGCAAACACAGCAAAGACAAAAAAATTTACAAAGTAAAATGAATTAGGCCATGTTATAACTAATTATATTATAATTGGTAAGTTTATGTAATCACACAATCAACACAACAGGTGATATGAGAAAAAACTGGCTTTTTGGCAATCTTAATCAATATATGCACATGTAGCATACAATAATGGGCCTCTCAAATACATATCCAGGGGTATAGCATCCAAAATACTCCCTTTCTAGGCTGCAGAATTCTCTGAATTTCAGGAAGAAAGGTGTTTGTCTCTGTTCTCTCCTCACTTTTTCACCTGGGTTTTGATGGTCCTCTTTCTTCATGTGCAAACAAATTTAATGTATGTTAATTTATGCCCATTCTCCTTACTGCATTAAGTGCATTAATTTATGTTCGTTCTCCTTAGTGCATTTATACTTAGTGGTAATAGTACAAGCTACAGTAATATTTAGAAACTAAGTATTTTACCATTGAAAGAGATTAATCATAGCTATGTTTAAAACTTATGTTCGTTTATAGAGAAAATACCAAACCTTTAGACAAAGTAATAAAAGTAACATATTCTGAGATATCAATTTTAATGTATTCCCTACTCTGCCATTAAAAAAGAATGAACTCTGTCATTTGCAACAACATGGATGAACTTGGAGCGACTTATGTTGAGTGAAATAAGCAAAGCCCAGAGATAAATACCATATGCACTCTCTCATAAGTGGGAGCTAAAAGATAAAGAAGAAAGGAAAGAAAGACCACGGTGGTGCATTGGACTTGTAGAGGGAGAGAACATAACCTAGGGATACAAAGTGGAGTGGGGGAAAGGGGGATGGGGAGGGAGGTTGGGGATAATTGAGGGGATAATTGGGTGGGGGACACGGGGTATAATCACAATTTGTGGTAATGGACATGCTGCCAGTATGGATCTGGCCATCACATCTTAGGCACGAGTGGTGACAATTTGCTCTGTATCCCATGAATATGCATAACCAATAAAAACAAAACATTTAGAAATATATATATCACCTTAACCAGGAAAAAAAACTTTTTTTTAATGTATTCCTTACATAAGATAAAACTGTTCTACTCTTCACTGGATTCTTAACTGATTAAAAACCATTCATTAGTATCTTAAAATCATAGAATTTCCACAGTAAAAGATCATTTAGTGCGATCCTTTTGTTTTACAGAAAAGGAATCCAAAGCCCAGAGTGGGTAAGTGACCTAAAAACAAAATATCAGACCTATAAAAGGCCCTTCATTGAAAAGATTAGTGAAGTATTCTAATGCTTTTACTATGTTTCAAGAAGGTACAGAACAAAGCAAAGAAGATTACTAACTCTAAACAAACATCTAGTAAGAGGACAGACAAGATGATAAAATGATTCTACTTTCAGTGTATAGATCTGCCAAGTTCTTCCTTCTATTTACAAGTGGGGAAGAAAGCATAAGCAAATTTTAAACTTTTTTTTTTTTTTTTCCTTTTTCGTGACCAGTAATGGGGTCGCAACCCTCAGTGTCGCGCCCGTACCGCGACCGGCAACGGGATCGCAACCCTCGGTGTCACGCCCGCACAGTGCTCAACCAGTGAGCAGACCGGTCTGTGTATGGGATCTGAACCCTCGGCGGGAGCGCGCCGCCGCACTCCCAGGTGCCGCACTCTACCGAGTGCACCACCGGGCTGGCCCCAGCAAATTTTAAACTTTTAAGATAAGATAGTGACAGGAAACATCTTAAAACTTACTACAATCACAACTGTAATAGTCAATAAAGATGAAAATCATTCAATCAAATATAAATGAGCAAACGACCATTCAATGGGGACAAGACAGTCTTTTCAACAAATGATCTTGGGAAAATTAGACATCCACATGCAAAAAAAAAGATGAAGTTGGATGCTTATGTCACAATTTATTAAAAAATTAGCTTAAAATGATCTAAGAGTTATAAAAGTCTTAGAAGAAAACGTATGGGAAAAGCTTCACAGCACTGAATTTGGCAAAGATTTTTTAGATATGACAACAAAAGTCTAGGCAATGAAAGAAAAATAGATAAACTGTACTTCATCAAAATTAAAAACGCATCAAAGGACACTGTCTACAGAATGAAAAGGCAACCCACAAAATAGAAAAATATTTACAAATCCTATCTAATAAGCAGTTAATATCTAAAATATATAAAGAATTCCTACAATTCAGCAACAACAAAAACACAACCCAATTAAAAAATGGGCAAAGGACTTGTATAGACATTTCTCTAACGGAAATAAACAAATGGCCAGTAAGCACATGAACAGATGTTCAGTACCACTAGTTTTTAAGAAAATGCACATCAAAACAATAGAGATACCACTTCACACCCATTAGGATAGCTTTTGAGAGAAAGAAAGAGAAAATAAGTGTTGACAAGCATGTGGAACAACTGGATCCCTCATGCATTGCTGGTAAGAATGTAAAATGCTACAGTGGCTGCAGAAAACAGTATGGCAATTCCTCAAAAAATTAAACATAGAATTGCCATATGATCCAACAATTACACCTCTGGGTATATACCCAAAAGAATTAAAAACAGAGACTCAAACAGATACTTGTACACCCATGTTTACAGCAGCATTATTCATATAGCCCAAAGCTAAAAGGTGGAAACAATCCAAGTGTCCACCTACAGATAAATGGATAAACAAAATGTGGTGTATACATATGCACAACGAAATATTATTCAACCTTAAAAAGAAAGGAAATTTTGACACACGTTACAACATGGATGAACCTTAAAGAAATTATGTTGAGTGAAATAAACCAGTCACAAAAGGACAAATATTGCATGATTCCTCTCATCCGAAGACCTACATTAGTCAAATTCCTGGACAGAGAGAGCAGAATGATGGTTGCCAGGGGCTGGCAGGACAGGGAGTCAAGTGTTCAATGGGCACAGAGTTTCAGCTGGGGAGGATGAAAAAGTTCTGGAGATGGATGGTGATGATTGTTGTACAGCAATATGAATGTACCTGGTTCCACAGAACTGTACACTTAAAAATGGTGAATTTTACGTTGTATATATTTTACCACAATAAAAAATATAAATGAGGGAAAATATAAAGCAATAATCAAGTTCTGAAATATTTGTTGAGTAACTGCTACACACAGAGCGTGGTGTTAGGCACTACATAGAGCTCAAAGACACAGCAAGAAACAAAGTCACTATTCTTAAGAAACTTCTAACCTAGTCTGGTGATGAAAAAACAAACAGTAAAAGATTTAAAGAACAGTACAACAATAGAAGAAATGACATAAGGCATAAAGAAGAGAAGTCATATCCATTAGAAAAAACAGCATAAGGAAAAGCAAGAGAGTGGATAAGACCATTGAGAGGAGCAGAGAGCAAGAAGATTTACTCTGTAAGGAACTAGAGAAAGATAAGATTACAAAGAGAACAGAGGATATGAAGTTCCACACTAAAAAGTTTGGTCTGCCAGAAGATGCTCAACTTTAATTCTGGTATGTGTTTTTGTTTTTAATCAGGGTATATTTACGACCCAAGAAAAGTAGATTCAAAACAAACAAAAAACAATAAAAGTGGAGACACTCCAAATATGGAACACAAAAGTCAGTTAGGGGCTAGTGTAGATGTCCCAACACAAGTAATAAAAAGTTCAAACTAGGATGGTATCTGTAAGAATGAAACGGAAGAAATGGGGCATGAGATACTTCAAAGGAAAAACCAAGCATACATGCTAACAATATTGTTTGGGAGGGGTAGAAAAACAGAAGGTTACTCCAGACTTTGAGAAATAAAAAATAGACACCTCAATTGCAAGGCACTCGGTATTCTAACAATTCACTGTATCATTCTTTTGAATGCCCTCAGAATATGCAGTCATTTACTAAAATGTGTTATCACTGGTTTCTGGCTTGGAAAGTAAGCCAAAGGACTTTCTGTGGACACAGCAGTAAAAACTCAATATCCAAGTCTGTGGATTCTAGGGTAAGAGTTAATTTCTTTACTGGCATTTGCATCTTCTTTCAAAAAGGGCAAATCCTTTAATAGTAAATAAAATCCTTACATATCTTACATCATATTATACATATCACATCTAT